CACCATGTGCATCCCACTGGGTTAGAAACACCAATGGCTCAGCCTCAAAACTCACATCAACATGTCACCATGGTAGGACAAACCGACAGACAAGTTTGCCTCCCTGTTGGAAACTTCTCCTACCACGTACCACGGTGGAACAAGGGATATCATAGCTGTTGTCAGATGGATCTTGGCTCAAGGCAAAGAATACCGGAAAGATGTCTACTTGTGTTTTATTGACTATGCAAAGGCATTTGATTGTGTGGATCATGACAAATTATGGATAACATTGAGAAGAATGGGAATTCCCGAACACTTGATTGTACTCATGAGTAATGTGTACCTTGATCATGAGGCTGTTGTTCGAACAGAACAAGGGGACCCTGCATGGTTTAAAATCAGGAATGGACTGCATCAGGGTTGTATCCTTTCCCCACACTTATTCAATCTATATGCTGAGCAAATAATCCGAGAAGCTGGACTATATGAAGAAAAACGTGGCATCAGGATTGGAGGAAGAATCATTAACCACCTGAGATACACAGACGATACAACTTTGCTTGCTGAAAGTGAGGATGACTTGAGGCACTTACTGATGAAGGTTGAAGAATACAGTCTGCAGTATGGATTACATCTCAATATAAAGAAAACAAAAGTCCTCACAACTGGACCAATGAGCAGCATCACAATAAATGGAGAGAAGATTGAGGTTGTCAAAGAATTCACGTTGCTTGGTTCTACAATTGATGCCAATGGAAGCAGCAGTCAGGACATTAGACGACGTGTAGCATTGGGAAAGTCAACTGTGAAGGAACTCTTTCAAGTGCTGAGGAGCAAGGATGTCTCCTTGAGGACTAAGGTGCACCTGACAGAAGCCATGATATTTCCAATTGCCTCGTATGCATGTGAGAGCTGGACAATGAATAAGGAAGACTGAAAAAGAGTTGATGGCTTTGAGTTGTGGTGCTGGCGAAGAATGCTAAAAGTACCATGGACTGATAAAAGAACTAACAGATCTGTCCTGGAGGAAGTGTACCCAAAATGCTCCTTGGAAGTGAGAATGGCCAGACTTTATCTCACCTATTTTGGTCATGTTGTCAGAAGGGACCATTCCTTGGAGAAGGATGTCATGCTTGGCAGAGTGGAGGGTCAATGAAAGGGGGAGGCCTTCAATGAGATGGATTGACACAGTGGCTGTGATGATGGGCTCGAGTATAGCAGGGATCGTGGAGCTGGAACGGGATCGGGCAGTGTTTCGTTCTGCTGTGCATGGGGTCGCTATGAGTCGGAAACGACTCGACGGCACCTAACAACAACAACAAAGAGGAAGACCCTCAAGGAGGTGGGTTGACACAGTGGCTGCATCAGTGGGCTCAAACACAGCAACCATTGTGAGGACGGCATGGGACTGAGCAGGCTTCGCTCTGTGGTATATGGGGCACTGCGGCTGAGAACCAACTCAGCGGGCCCTAACGAGAACATCAGGTGGGTCCACATGCACGCCTACCCTTGCAGACCCCCTGCCTGTCAGGGTCCCTCTGTCTGCAGCTCTGGCTCTTCCAAGGACTGCCCCTGACCCCTGCTGTGTGGCCCCTTCTGGGATGCCCGCTCCTACAGCCACACCCGCTCCCAGCCCCCCTCAGGGTGTGCGCCTTTGCCCCTTGACTCTGAGCTTTCAGATGCTCCTTCCGCTGGAGGCGGGTAGCCCGTCGGAGTGCCCTCTCCTTCGGCTCATCGGCCAACAGTGCTTCAGTCTGGAGTCGTGTGGGTTGGGTGTGTACCGAAAAGAACTGAAAGCAGAGATTCAGAAATTTGCACACCAATGTTCATTGCAGCACTGTGCCCAAAAGTCAAAAGGTGGAAGAACCATGTGTCCCTCAACAGATGGTAGATAAACAAAATGTGGTCCATGCATATGATGGGATATTTCCCGGCCACAAAAAGGAATGAAGTTCTAATACATGCTACAACACGGATGAACCTGGAACACATGAAGGGTACACAGAGGGTAAATGCTGTCTGATCCTTCACATGAAGTTTCTAGAACAGCCACTTACATGTACTGTCTGACCCCTCAGGTAAACCCTCCAGACAAGTACACAGAGACCAGGTTTATCTAAGATCACCAGGGCTGGTGGGAGGGGGCAGTGACTATGCAGTAAGGGGTAGTTTGTTTGGGGGCCTATAAATGTTTTGGAAACAAACAATGGTGGTGGTTGCAAAACACCATGGGTGTGGCTGATGTCACTGGACAGTGCTCTTGGGAATGGTCAAGCAGCACACAACAGGCTGTGTACCGCACAGGAAAGGAAGCCATGTTGTTTGCATTTTCTGCTGTGTTCCTGGTGGTAGCGGGCTACCGTGCTGTGTCCATCTCCTCCCTCCGGGTCCTGGGCCCCCACGGCCACACTGTCCTGTGCCTTTGTCAGCTGGATGGCACTAGGTCTGGTGGTGGAGTGCCCTGGCATCTGTGGTAATGGCCCCAGTGGTAATGGACACCAGAGGTGGCCCTGCGTATGGCCGCCCTGTGCACTCCACCCAGCAGAGCTGGGAGTGGCAGAGAGAGAGCCTCAGGACCACATCGTCCCAGAGCCCCTGCTCTTCCCGGGCCCACCCCTCCGCACTCCCAGGCCCCACAGTCAAGATTCAGCAAAGAAGCAAACACAGGCCAACAAGCAGTGGTTGTTGCTGCTGCAGGCCGCGAGGAAGACTGGGGCCCCCGAGAGAGGGAGACGTGAGAAGGAGTGGGCGGAGGGTGGGCTGGTGCTGACGAGTGAGGGGGTGAGGCGCCCAGGAGGACGGACGGCCAGCCACCTCTACCAGCCCCTTCAGGCAGGGATGTCTCCACGCCTCCACGTCCTCTCCTTCCGTTCTCTCTCGACCCTCTGCTTTTGCTGGCTGGCCATTGGAGCTGCACCGGAAGATCTCCAGCTGTTCAATGGGTAGCCTTTCTGGGCCTCAGTTTCTACATCTGCATGAGGATCTCTGTATGAGAGCCCAGGCATAGCCATAACAAACGAACCCTAACTGGGCGGCTTGACCCAAAGTTAGTCGCTCCTGGTTCCAGGGGACACAAGTCTGAAATCAAGGTGTCGGTTGCACCAAGCTCCCTCTGAAGGCTCCAGGGGGGCTCCTTCCGGGCCTCTTCCAGGTGTGATTGGGCTTGGGGTCTGCCTCATTCCATCTCTACCTCCATGGTCACATGGCTGCTTCTCTCTGTAGCTGTGTTTCTTCTCTCCTTAAGAGGATACCAGCCATTGGTCAGGACCCACCCTAGTGCATACAACCTCATCTTATCTAATCACACCTGCAAAGGCCCTGCCTCCAAGCAGGGTCACAGTCTGAGGGTCCAGGTGAACATGACTTTGGGGGGAGGCACTATTCAACCCTGCACTCTCTGAGGGAATGATATGCCAACATGTATTAAGAGCAAAAAGGAACCCTGGCAGAGTAGAAGGTAGTAGGCTGCGGACCGGGAGGTCAGTGGTTCAAACCCACAAGCTGCTCCAGGGCAGAAACATGTGGCAGTCTGCCTCTGTAGACAGCGCCTTGGCAACCCTAAGGGCCGCTCTGAGTTGTAATTGACTGGATAACAGCAAGTTTGGATTTTGGGTTTCGATTAGGAGCAAAAACAAGGAGAAATTCGCCCTCTGTTTCTTTGGGGAGCCGGTTGGGGAGCAGCAGCTAGATGGTCTTCTCTCAAGTGCAAGCCTGGGGCACAGCCCCGCCCCCTGGGCCACTGCAGGCTGTGGCCAAGGGGAACCAGGGGTGGCCAGGTGTCTCTGTGCCTCTGATGGCGACCTAAAACGGAGGAATAGATGCCTGGCTTTCCCAACTTGACTTCCAGCCATCTTTGTAAGGGCAGCATGCCTGAGGCTGAGGGTGGAGAGGGCAGACCTCCGAGTGGCAAGAGGTGGCCCCCTGTTCCATGGGAGGGCACACCCTCGGGGCCCTGTCCTCAATCTCTGTGACTCCTGTGCCCAGCAGGACTCCCTGCTGGATGCTTAGAAGGGTATCTTACCAACCCATCCCTGGTTCTTTTATCTCTGGGGGCGTGCTGTCCCGAGAAGCACTCACATGCAAAGTTGCCGTGCTCGGTCGGGCTTGGGGGCCACAGGCCGCTGTGCTGGAGTGTCAGCATCCTGGGCTGTTCGCAAGTAAGAGCATCCACCTCCCACCAGGACTTTGGAGCTGTGTGGTCATCATGTCCACCGGGCACCCAGGTAATGGCACTGGAGAGGCGGCGCCCGCTCGCCCATTGGAGGCCTGCTCCCCCCGACACGCGTCTTCTCAAGGCACGGCCCCTGACTGGGTCCCCAGACTTGGGTCCTGGAAGGCTGCTTAGCGCTCTGCCTTCTATCTGAACTCTCGGCACGTCGGTGACGGCAGGAGGCTGCAGGCATTCATTTCCTAAGGCCCTTAAACCCCAGGACTGGCAGCTCCTGGGGGTCCTGGCAGCTCCTGGCTATCACTCGTCCCCGGCAGGGCCACGAGACCGGCGCACACCTCCATGCCGCCGTTCTGTCCGGGGGCCGGGCCTGGTTACCTGGACCCTGCGCCACCGGGGCCGGCGAAGGAGTGCAGCGTCTCCGCGGACCTCCATGCCCCGAAGGTGCTTGTGCTGGGGCTGCAGGGACAGGCTCCAGCCTCGCTGTGCGTCCTGCACAGGGCCTCTCCCGGGACTCTCCCGACGACCCGCAGGCTTCCCGGACCTAGCAGCAGCGCAGGACGCCCCCTGCACGAGCTCTTGGATCTGCTCGCGGGAGGAGGCTGGGGGTGGGGCAAGGAGAGGAGGGGACGGACCGGGGCGGAGAGGACGCCCCGCCGCGCCCCCTCCCGAGGCTCGCAACCCACCCACCTCCGCGTCCCTGGAGCAGATGCCCGCTACCAGCTACCGCTCCACCCCGCCCCCGGCCGGCTCGGCCCCGCCCCCGGCCGGCTTGTTTCCCGGCCCCGCCCCCGGGCGGTGCGGCTCCCGGCCCCGCCCCCGGACGACGCGGCCCCGCCCCTCGGGTGTTGCTAGGGGAAGTGACGTCACAGCGCCATGGCGGCGGCTCCTTTAGGCAGCTGAAGGGGAATTTAGGCCCGGAAGATCCGAGTCCATCCGCGGCGGGGAGAGAGTGAGAGGGCCCGGCAGCGGCCGGAGCAGGGGCGGCGGCGCTCGGACTGTCCCATCCGCCCCGTATTGAGGCGCTGGGAGCGGCGGGGCGGCCGAAAAGCGATGGTGAAAGCGGGGCCGTGAGGGGGGCGGAGCCGGCAGCCGGACCCGCAGTAGCGGCAGCAGCGGCGCCGCCTCCCCGGAGTTCAGACCCAGGGAGCGGCTGGTAGAACAGGAGCGAGCTGGGCCACCGCCATGGAACTGAGAGTCGGGAACAGGTACCGGCTGGGCCGGAAGATCGGCAGCGGCTCCTTCGGAGACATCTATCTCGGTGAGGCTGCGGC